AAAAAAAAAAAAACCTATCATAATCATGTAACTTTTATCAGTTGGCCTCATGGTCACCTAGTTCTAATTAAAATGTAAATATCTATAATTTCACTCTGAAAAAACACCCACTTCTGACAAAACTAAACAAAAAAGGAGGATATAAATAAAGAACCATTTTGTAGTGAAAAAAATATGTATATACAAAATAGGGTAGATATACAGCTACATTTTCTTAGTTCAATGAGAAGAAAGGTTTGTACTAATATTTAGACAAGATATCATGTCTACATCTTGTCCTCTAAATAACCACTATGAAGACAACAATATGCAATGTATTATATATCGTAACTGTCCTACTAACTTGTTTTGAAACTGTTCCATTGCTATTTTATGTTCTCATTAAGATGAATAAAAATAATTTTAAAAAATTGGATATCTACACATCAATATCTATCTCTATGTATACGTTTACACATTCTAAAAATCCAAGCAGCTAAGAGGCTTTATACAAAAAAAAATTAATGCACTATTTTATATGAATATTATATCAGGTGACAGACTGAGAGAGAAGTTAAAGAACACACTCCACCCATGTCATTAATAATGCTAATGATGCCCATGGTCCTAGTCAAGCTGTCCAGATTCCTTCATCCAGTTCCTACCTGACATGATTTGGTACATATAAGGTCCTGTTTCCCAGAATTTTCTGTGTTCCCCACCAAGGGTGAAAAATCTCATTTCATTTTAGAAAATAGAAGAGCCAGCTTGTTTACAGAAGAGCAGGTTGATGAGAGAGAAAGGGGATTTAGCTATATTGGTATCCCTAGTTCATACCATATTTCCTTATGCATTGACATTTACCAATTGTGAGCAAGAATTCTGATGGAAATAGAAGCATTTCAAAAAGTACCTTCAGTATAGTTTCAAAAGGAATACATACTACATTCTCCATTTTTTCCTTCATATTTCACAAAGCATACTCTGCATTCACAGAGCAGGGCCCTCTCCCAACTCCTATCATTTTTGATAGATGCATGCTTATTTTCATGTGACTGGAAATTTCACTGAAATAGTTGGACATTTTTATGATAATTTCCTATAACATGACCATTTTATGTCTCACAGAAGGTTAACTTGTATTTTAACAGTGATTTAGGAACCACCAATAAAAGTGATTTTATGTTGGAAATCTCTATGGATTTATTTTACAATTTTAATCAATATGCAATGGCACTTAGCAGAGATTTGTTTTTAT